GAGGAGGAGGAGGAGGCTGGGGAGGAGGAGGAGGAGGAGGAAGAGGCAGGAGGAGGAGGAGGAGGCGAGCATGGGCACGAGTAGGAGCAGTTGGCGGACCGCGCCGGAGGAACACAGGAACACCCTCACCTCCTCCCACTCAGACCCATTCAGACTCACTCATCACGCAGACTCACTCATCACTCAGACTCACTCATCACTCAGACTCACTCATCACTCAGACCCACTCATCACTCAGACTCACTCGTCACTCAGACTCACTCATCACTCGGACTCAGTCATGACTCATATTCACTCGCTCATCACTCAGGACTCAGTCATGACTCATCATCTCATCACTCAGACTCATCACTCATCACTCAGACTCACTCATCACTCAGACTCACTCGTACTTGTACTCATACATTCACTACACTCACACAGGTCCACTCATCGGATGACACACACACACTGATGTTGAGGATGTCTCAGGCGATTCGCTCGTCTCAGCACTCTAAGGGGAGCGGCGGGGGGGTATCTCACGGGGTCCCGTTCGCGGAATTTTGTGGGGATGTCTCGAGCGGTTTGCCTGTTTTCTGTCCCAGCATCCTTCGCTTTCGGGGCATATTTGGAGGATGTCTCGAGCGAGGCGCTCATTGTCACGTTCCTAAGGGGAGCGGCGGGGGGGTATTGCACTCTGCCCCTTTCGCGGGATTTTGTGGGGATGTCTCGAGCGGTTTGCCTGTTTTCTGTGCCGACATCCTTCGCTTTCGGAGCAGATTTTTAGGATGTCTCGAGCGAGGCGCTCATTTTCACGTTTCTCAGGGGAGCGGCGGGGGGGTATTGCACTCGGCCCCTTTCGCTGGATTTTGTGGGGATGTCTCGAGCGGTTTGCTTGTTTTCTGTGCCAACGTCCTTCGCTTTCGGAGCAGATTTGGAGTATGTCTCGAGCGGGGCGCTCATTTTCACCCCCCAGGTGGGCCTGGGCCAGATTTTGAGGATGTCTCGATCGGTTTGCTTGTTTTGGTGGCCAGGCTCGTGGGCGCAGATTCTTCTCAGGATGCCACAGGAGGCTCCAACAGGCTCCAGGAGGCACCAGGAGACCACATGAGGTCCCAGGAGACATCAGGAGGCCACAGAAAGATTCAAGGGGCCACAGGATGTCCCAAGAGGCTCCAGGAGGCCCCAGGAAACTCCAGAAGGCCTCAGGAAACCACAGGAGGCCCCAGGAGGCAACAGGAAGCGCCAGGAGGCTTCGGAAGGCAACAGGAGGCCCCGAGAGGCCCCAGGAGCAGGAGGCCTCAGAAGGCAACAGGAGTGGTTCCAATCCCATGTGTTTTACGTATGCTCCTATCGATTGGGCCTCACCTGGAGCACGATTCTTTGATGTTATACGTATGTTTCTATATATATATATATTGTCCTTCTCCTGTGTACACAATCCTACATGTTTTACTTATGTTCCTATATATTGGGCCTCTCCTGGGGCACGAGTCCTTGGTTTTTTACGCGTGTTCCTATAGATTGCCGTTCTTCTGCGGCTCTAATCCGCAATGTTTTATGTACGTCTGTTGCTATATATTGCGCCTCTCCTAGGGCACGAAACCTCCCTAGGAGGTCCCAGGAGGCCCCAAGAGGCTCCTGGAGACCCCAGGAAGCCCCAGTAGGTTTCAGGAGGCCCCAGGAGGCCCCAGGCTCATGCACAAAGACGCGCTCGTACTACTGAGGCTCATTCACACTCCAATTCATTCGCAGTTAGATTTATGTCCAGACCGTCACAACTGAAGCCCGTGTATATTCGAAAGCTCTTGCGCCTAGACATTCACGGCGGACAGGTCCATGCGAATAGATGCGCATATGGGGAGCTCCACGCAGTGAATAATTACCCGAGTAGTTTTTGACGGTCCCGAGGTCTGGTAAGGGCTTCCAGAGGCAGGATATAGCAAAACATACACTCGTGTGTGTTCTTCACGACACCGGGGGTCTGGGGCGGGGGTGCGGGGGATTCGGCAGTGTGCCGTAATGGTTGAGCTTGCCTGCGGTGGCGCCACGACTTCCTGATTCCTTCGTGGGAGTCTGGGTTCTGTAGGGAGTCGACGTGTGCGCCTTCCGCGTCTTGCCACGAAGCATGCGGTGGGCATGACACAGCCGTCATAGTCCATCGCAGCGAGCCCATACGAGCGCTACTCGTGTCACTGCTGCCTAGACGTTCGCCATGCACTGCCTCGACGAAAATCGTAAGCAGGAGGAGGAGGCGAGAGGAGAGACACGGAGGTGTGAGGAGGAGGACGGCGACATCGAGTGAGGGATAAGGAGGAAGAAGGAGGGCAGAGGGGTGCAGGGAAGAGAGAGGAGGGGGGGGAGGGGCCGAAGGAGGGGCAGGGACGAGAGGGCCGGGAGCGTCGAGGAAGGGCATCGGGGAGCGTGGAGGCCCCCGCCGAGGCGACGGCGGCAACCATCTGACGACGGCGCGAGCCCTCCAGATGATCACAGTGGACGAAGCTTGCAGCAGACACCCAGACTTAAGTCGGGCCTTTCCCTCTACTGGGGGAATATTCAAAAATAGGAAAGAATAGTCGAGGGACGGTTTTTTGAGCATTTGTTGGCCACTTCGGTGTATTTTGTATATCTTTTATTTTTCGACCAAAATTCCCCTGTAGGAGGACAGGCCCGACTTTAACCTGGACGCTCGAGCCTCGACCCCTCACCCTCCAGAGGGGGCCTGCCAGAGTCCCCATGGAGGCCCCGCGGGGGGCCAGGCAACGCGCGCCAACAGTCCCCGAGGCCTCGAGCCCCGCTGCCGAAGAAGTCCCAAGTCGGGCGTGCCCCTCTACAGGATCGGGGGTGGATAGCCCTCCTGTCCGGGCACGTCGATGAAGGAATCGGCCGTTTTCAGTTCGCGAGGGGGCGTCGCGGCCGTCACTTCTGCGGGTCCATGGTCCTTCGGTTCCGGTCCCGGGCCGTTTTCATTGAGGGGAGGTTTACGAACGGGAGGTTTGTCCACCGCCGAGGGGCCAGGCGACGCGCGCCAGCAGTCCCCGAGGCCTCGAGCCCCGATGCCGAAGAAGTCTCAAGGCGGGCGTGCCCCATCTACGGGAGGAGTAGTCAAAGATAGTCAATGCCTGACTGTGTCTGACTATTCGACTATGTTTGAATCTTTGTTGACTATTTTAAATGTTTCGTCCAAAGTCCGCCTGTACAAGGACACGCCCAACCTAAAACAGGTCTCGAGCTTGCAGTCCCACCCAGGCCGTTGAATACCGCTTTTTTGTTCGGTTGCGATCGGTATAGCGTATAGCGACCGATCGGCACTCCTAATCGGTCGCGACCGATCGCGACCGATCCCAAAATCGGTCGCGACCGATGCCGAAATTTGAAGCTGCATCGGTAGCGTCCGTTCTTGTCGGCCGCGCCCGGCAAATTCTGGCAGCAGATGATCAGGGCACGGGGCTCTTAGGGGGGAGGGGACGGCGCACGAGCTGCACCCAGCATTGGTACAGGAGGAGGAGGAGGAGGAGGAGGAGGAGGAGGAGGAGGAGGAGAGGGGAGGAGGAGGAGGAGGAGGAGGAGTAGAGGAGGAGGAGGAGGAGGAGGAGGAGGAGGGGGAGGAGGAGGAGGAGGAGGAGGAGGAGGAGGAGGAGGAGGAGGAGGAGGAGGAGGAGGAGGAGGAGGAGGAGGAGGAGGAGGAGGAGTGTCGCCGAGCCCGCCTGCGCAGGCCACGGCAGAGCCGCCCAGAGGTCGCAGCGTTCTGCAGAGCATCGGAGCGGAGCTGCTTGCTGGCAGCCCTCGGCCTCCGAGGGATCGGGAGCCTCGCGACGGGGGTCAATGCAAACGGAGGTCAGCCAGAGCGCCCGATCTTGCAGGATCCTGCAGGGCCAGGGGCGCACTGAGCCGGGCTTGGGTGCAGGATACTACGCATTGACCCGGGTTTGGGTGCAGGATCTGGCAGGATCTTGCAGGATCCTGCAAGGCCTGGCTGACCCGGGTCTGGATTGACCCGGGTCAGCAGATCCCCGAAGGGAGCCCTCGCTGGGCCGCGGGGCCGCGGGTGCAGCTCCGGGGAGGTCCCATTCTGATGTTGCCCTGGTCCGAAAATCCGGCTCAATCCGTTTTCATCCCGCTCAGTCCCGCTCAATCCCGCTTCATCCGAGGCCCACTCAGGCGTAACAGCCTTCAATGGGGCTGAATCCTGCTTAGCCCTTCCGACGAAGACCTCCCGACGGGACTTTCGAAGGACGTCGGGGGACCACGCGCGGAGCAGCACATCGGATCCCTGTGCTGGCGGCGGCGCTGGCGAAGGAGGGATGGAAGGGGGTTGTCCAGCGTGCTGCTGGCCGCCCCCCGGGTTCCATGAGCAGTGGCTGCAGGGCCTGACCGCCAGGATGTAGGGGAAGGGGAGGGGGAGAATGGGCGGAGGAGGAGGAGGTGGGAGGAGGAGGGTGCAGAAGGAGGGGGGGGACCTGGGAGCAGGAGGAAGGGGGAGGAGGGGAAGAAGGCAGAAGGAGGACAAAGGGGGGAGGAGGAAGAGCAGCAAACACGCATCTCCCCGCCTTCCCCGCTCCTCCGACGACGCATTTGGGTCGCGACGTGGCCTCCCTCTTGGATTTCGACCTCTTCCCGGAGATGGTTTCTCAGCCTGAGGCCGTCTTCGACGGTCTTGCAGGGCTGGGAAGTTGCTTCTGGAGACAGGCTGCACATGTTTGTTGAGCCTTCGAGTCTTTTGCTTGCGACGCCCGCATCTGTGGCTCTCCGCCCTAACTCTTGATCCGCCGTACTTTTTAGGAGATCTCGAAAGTGGTGCGGACATTTCCGCCCTACTTGCCATGCTTCTCTGACGTCGATCTCCGCCCTGCTCTGCCGTCGCCGTTTCGGCCCTGCCTTCGCTGAACCACCCGCCCTGCCTTTCTGAGGCGGGGATTCCCGCCGCAATTCTTTCGCATCGCTCGGGGCGCATGCCCGACACGGTCCGAAGTCCGGCACCTTCCAGAGCACGGCGGATCCGAAGCCACGGCGAGCCCGAGGCCCCAAGAGGGACGACGCTGGCGAGGCCGAGCGGCGCATGGTGGCGGCCTTCCTGACGCAGCTGGACGGCGTCGGCGGCACGGACCGGGCCGCCGCGCCGCGTGGCACCCCGCGGCGGGCGCCGCGGTCGAGGCCTTCCCGTCTGGCGCTTCGGCTTCTCGAGTAATAGGGGATCGACTACGGCATTGGTTGACCCCACAATTGATTTTCCCGTCGAAGTGACGGAGCAGATTCAGGATTCCAGATCGATGCACGAATCTTCGACGCAGCCGTCGTAGATTACATGGGGGAAATCAATTTTGGGGGGTAAATCAATTCTGCAGTCGATCCCCTCCTCGAACTTTGTCGGCCGTCGGCGCCGGGCACCGCGCGGAACTCGGAGCCGTCGGGGGGGGCCCGAGGTGGCCGAGCAGCGTTTTTTTTTTCAGCGCAGGGAGGGGCGGGAGGGCTCGAGGCTCGGGGCTCGGGGCTCTGGGAGTTTTTTTCTCTGGGCTCTGGGGCTCGAGGCTCTGGGCTCGAGGCTCTGGGCTCGGGGAGTTGTTTTCTGTTGTGGGTGGGGGGGGAGTTGTCGGTCTCCGGGTGCCCGTTCCGGGCCCAGGGACCGTGGAAAGTTGATCCCGGGTGAAGACTGCACAGTATGCAGGAGGGCAAGAAGCACACAGACACAATGAACCCTCGATTCCGCAGACAAGATGGGAAAATACGGGAAGTGGGGGGGGAAGACAAAAACCAAGGAAATATTCCAAAACATTGGGAATCCTGTTATTTGGATATTTTTGTTGTGTGTCTCAGGGCCCTTTCACAGAGGGATCCCAGGAGGGGTCCAGGATCGATTTGGAGCGGGTTTGGCTGCACCCCCCCCTTCTGACAGAGTTTCTTGGGTCCTAACAAGTTCAGGCCCCCGTGGCCGCCTCCAAGCGTGGAGCGTTCCACCTTGAGCGACCTCGTATCTCCGATCTCCGATCAGAGTGAGAGGGCCGACCGGTCTGGCACCATCCCTGCAGGTGCGCGGGTGAAGTGGGATTCCGCCGCTCGGATTCTGCTTATTTGTCGTTCGTTGTCGTCGTCGTCGTCGTCCCCCCCGCGATCCTCCCCCCTGCCACCCGCCCCGCGACCCTCCCCTCCCGCGGCCCAACATCGATCCTGGACGATGCGCTGCCCCCGGGGAACGGGTCGGGATCTCTGGGGCCGCGCACTGACAAGTCACATCGTCGGATGTCTGGGACCGCGGCTCTCCGAAGGCACAGGTCGCTCGATGCCAACCGATTCCGGGCCATTGTCGCAGCTCGAGCCTGAGCGCCCCCGCGTTCGGGGCCGCCGCCGCCGCAGACGAGAATGGGGAAAGACCTCCGCCTTGGTTTTTGACGATGCGTCGAAGGTCCAGAAGATCAGGAGGGGAACAAGCACACAGACACGATTTGTCGTCGATCCTTAGGAAAATATGGGAAAATATGGGAAGTGGGGGGAAGACGAAAATCAAGAAATTATCAGGATCTATAAGGCATCCGGGGATTTGTGTATATTTCTTTGTGTGTCCCAGGGCCCCTTCAAAAGAACCCAGATCATTGGATACCTATTTTGAATTCGGTCGCGACCGATACCAGAATCTGAAGCAGAATCGGTAGCGACCGTTCTCGTCGGTCTCGACTGGACAGTCCCGGTATGCAATGATCAGGGAACGCTCAGTTCCCAGACACCCGGCGTCTTGATGTTTTTACAGCGTCGACACCCGGAGGTCTCGACTTTTCCAGGGGCCAGTTTCTCACCCAGAGTGTTTTTGTTGTATGGTCCTGGGCGCCCCAGCCAGGGCCCCAAGAGGCAGAATATAGCAATCATCTCCCGTCGCGATTTTCTCTCGACGCGGTTTTCTCTCGACAAGTTGCAACATCGCAAAAATCACGACTGGAATCCGGAACCCCGTCTTTCTGCAGGACCTTCTGAGTCAGATCGATCTGCGATGGGCCTGGGGCCCGAAGCCCGGTGAACACGCCCAGTGCGTAAGAAGTGCGACGCCATCGTGCGTTGCTTCATGGGGGGGCGATACACGGGGGGCGCAGACACGTACACATGGTTCATGTGAAATTCTTCGAAATTTCTTTGATTTTTTAGGGGCCAAGATCCTGTCATTTCTAACTGCTCTATCCTGGGCCTCTTCCTGGCCACTAGGGGGCCAGGAACAATTAGAAACGAGCACTATTAGAAATGAGCACGATTAGAAATGAACGACGTGTAAACTTTTCGTGAACCTTTCGGGCCCCAGGACGAACGGTGCACCTGTCCTCACCCCGCACTTTGTCGCCCCCCCCCCGATGCGGCAACGCCCCGCACCAGGATCTCAGGGTTGCGGGGCATGGAGAGAACGCCCACCCGGACGAGTAGAATGAGGAAATCGGAACCATTTCACTCGACACTGGCGCATTCGTGTGTGCCCGCGCAGTCTCCAATCTGGCTCGCTATAGTCGGCAGCTCGAATCGGCCATTCTTGGACGTGGAGTGCTTACCTCGCTGTGGTCGGCGCGGACGTCGGTAGCATGCGCACGTGGAGTGCCCCTGGCAGCATTCGTGACTGGGCGTCTTCTGCTGGAGGGTGGGTGTTCTGTCACCCTTGGAGTTACCAGTTTGGAACATATCCCTATCCCTATGTTTGACATCACCTCACCTCTATGCCGATCTTAAGGATTCCCTCGGTTTTTGAGGGCCTATCCCTAAGATTGTCCTCGCTATTTGCTCGCCCATCTTAGGAATAAGGATACGTTTGAGGCTGGTTATGGAGGCTGGAGGTCCAGGAAGCAGGCAGTGGCGAGACGCCCTGGCTTGCCCGCAGGCCCACCAGAGGGTGCTCTAACAACATGCTTTGGATGTGTACGACACGTTTATTAGTAGACCATTTCTTGCTGGGACCGCCTTGGTGTAATCTTTCGCTTCCATGTTCTAGGAGCATCACCCATCTTGTTCTCAGAACAGTTGATTTGCCTTCCGAGGATGTCGTGGTTGGCCTATCGGAGTGCCGGGGCGGTCGGTCCCTGCTCAAGGGAACGACGCCTGGTTTTGGCCAGCCAGCGGCAGGACGGCCTGGTCGTCCTGGGCGCCACCAACCGGCCCGAGGCCATCGACCCGGCCCTCCGCCGGGCGGGACGCTTCGAGCGGGAGCTCGAGGCCGCACCGGCCCCGGCTGCCAGGGAGAGCGCCAGGGTTCCGTTCTGAGCTCGTTCGGCGTCGGAGCCCGTTCCTTGAGCGTAAGGTTCGGTCGGGCAGGTCCCTCTAGAGGAGGACGATTCAAAAGAATCAAGAACTATTCTGGGGGCGATGATTCGAGACTTGTTGACTATGGTTGAGTCTATTTTGACCATGTATTATTTTTCTTCCAAAACCCGGCTGTAGGAGGACGTGCCCAACCTGAGTGTAAGGTCTTGGGGCCCTCGAGGTGTCTGAGAATACGTTTCCCCTCAGCGTTTTCGTCACACGTTCGTTCTATGTTCGACTTCATCCGTGTTGGGAAGTTCCAGTTTCGTTCCACTCTCGTTGCAGTTTCGGTCCTTTTTGGTTCCAGCTTCGTTCCAATTTCGTTCCAGTTTCGCTCCGCTTGCGTATCAAGATCTTGTCATCGTTGTCCCAGAACGCAACGCCCCAGAACGTCCAAGCACGGATTCGCAACGAGAATCAAGAGCGCGCGCGCGTCAGTGGAGGGTCTCTGTCGAACAGCAGATTCAAGTTCGAGCCCATTCGGCGACCGAACGGGCTCGAGCATTCCATACACCAGTAGATCATAAGCAGTTCACGATCGATGTTCAACTTGTCACTGCCCGAATTTCCCCCCCCTGGGGAGCCGGGCAACGTACACAGTTTGGACTTCGGAGCTTCAGAGACGGGGGTCAATGCAAACGGGGGTCAGCCAGGGCACCGGATCTTGCAGGATCTTGCGAAGACCCCCTCTGGCTGCCCCATGTTAGCGAGCCGCTCGTGGCCGCGAGGCGGCCGCGCATATTGGCTGACCCGGGTTTGCGAAGCTTTGCGTCGCAGTTTTTTTTTTCTTGCATTGCAGTTTCCTTGGTTTCCTGCTGACCCGGGTCTGATTGACCCGGGTTAGCAGATCCCCGAGGACTCCAGGCGGGCCACCAGCAAATGTCTGGATCACCTCAGGCATACAGTTTTTCGTTTGATTTCGGCCCAGATGCTAGGTTGGCCGTGCTCGGTACTGCAAGGGACACAACAGCGAATCCCACGACCCCGTGCGGCCGCCCGTCTGGCGGCCGAGCGGGCGTATTGGTCGCCGCACGGGCTCCGGGCGGGGGCCCCGAGGGTGGGAGCGGAGGCGCAGAGCCCAGATCCCCTCACGCCGTGAAAAATTTGCGAACCCAGACCTTTCCCTGAGGGTTCCAACAGGATTTTTTTGGGGAGGAGGTTTTCCAGAGAGCCCCCCAGGGGCCTCGGAACCTTGTCAAGACAGGAGGTGCGAAGCCCCTGGGGGGCCCCTCCTGCAAAACCCCCTCCCCAAGAACCCCCTTTGGAACCCTCCGGTCATTGGATGCGGATTTGTTTCCAGTCGCGATCGGTAGCCACCGATCGGCAATCCAATTCGGTCGCGACCGATGGCGACCGATCCCCGAATCGGTCGCGACCGGTCGCCACCGATCGCGACCCATGGGTCGCGACCGATGGGTCGCGGCCGATCCTGAAGCACATCGGCCGCGATCGATACCGAAATCGGACGCGAAAGCGGCACTCGTCGGTCGCGGCGGAGAAATTCCAGCATCCAGTAACTAATCAGGGTGGGGGCCCTCCCCGGGCCGCGGGCCCATCATCGGCGGCGAGCGAGGGGGGGACAGGGAGAAGGAGAAGGCCTTCTCAGAAGGCTCGGAAGTCCCCTCCTGGCCTTCTGAAAAGTTTTCTAAGCCTTCCCCACAGACAGAACCAACCTTCTCAGAAGGCGCGAGGGCTTCTGAGAAGTCCCGCCGCCTTCTGAGAAGGCCTTCTCCTTCTCAGTTCCCCCCAAGCTCGCCGCCGAATCAAAAGACGAGTCAGGCTGAAAGGCTGGCCACTGTGAATAGGTCGAGACCTTTGGGGGTCGACGTTCTGACAGAGTCATGATGTCGGGGGTCTGGGGGTCATCGTAGGTTTTCGGAGGTTCTCGTTGGTCGTTCGACGTTTTCCCGCCTCGGGATGCTTGCCAGCAGCTGCGCCTCGCCGAGAGCGCTCCACAGGTGTGCCCGAATCGTCTCGAACGTTCGCCGGAGACCCGAGTTATCGTCCGACAGCTGCAGACAAGACGAGGACTGGCGGGGCGTCGGGAGGTTTCTTTTCGGCTTCTGGCGGACATTTTCGGGCCTCAGGCCATCAAGCGTTGTTTTGGGACATACACTGTTCGATGGGGCGAGTGAGGGGTCCTGGGCCGCGGATTGGAAACACACACGCGCACACACATTTACACACATTTACACACATTTACACACACTCACGCACGCACGCACGCACGCACGCACGCACGCACGCACACACACACACACACACACACACACGCACGCACATACACACACACACCCGCACGTACACACACACGCGCGCACGCAGGCACACAGACATACACGCGCGCACGCAGGCACGCACGCACGCACACGCGCACACACCCACACAAACACACACACATACACACACACGCACGCACCCACCCGCACACACAAATGCACACACCACACACACACGAACCCACCCGCACACACACATACACACACCACACACACACACACGCACACGCACACGCACACGCACACGCACGCGCACACGCACACCCACACGCACACGCACACACACACACCCGCACACGCACACGCACACGCACGCGCACGCGCACGCACACGCACACGCACACGCACACGCACACGCAAACGCACACGCACACACGCACACACGCACCCACGCACACACGCACACACGCACACACGCTCACACACGCACACACACACACCTACACACACGAACACACCTACACACACGAGCTCACACACACCTACACACACGCACACACACACACACGAACACACACACACACACATACGAACACACACACTCACGAACACACACACACACACACACCACACACTACACACCACACACCACAAACCACACATCACACACCACACACCACACACACACCACACACACACACCACACACCACACACCATACACCACACACCACACACCAAACACCACACACCACACGCACAGGCACAGGCACGCACACACGCACACGCACACGCACACGCACACGCACACGCACACGCACACGCACATGCACACGCACACGCGCACGCGCACGCGCACGCGCACGCGCACGCGCACGCGCACGCGCACGCGCACGCGCCCGCGCACGCGCCCGCGAACGCACACGCACACGCACACGCACACGCACACGCGCACGCACACGCACACGCACACGCACACGCACACGCACACGCACACGTACACGCTCACGCACACGCACACGCACACTCACACGCACACGCACACGCACACGCACACACACACACACGCACACGCACGCACGCACGCACAAACATCGCTGCATGTGTTGGAAGGAAAGTGGAGGGTCGAACATCCAAGTTTGTTTAACGCCTTCGGTCCTTTTTTTCGGCCTCCGTTTAAAAGATTATCCCAGCAAAGCAACCTAACAGCCATGTTTATCAGCATATATGGAAGCATTATTCTTTGGACTCATGTTCGGATTTGACTGGAAGCGAAACGCTGCGATCAATAGTGGACGTGTCTGCAAAGGAGGCACTACTATCAACGAGACAGCACATTCTTTTTGTGCTCATTCCAAACGAGACGCTGCTATGCAGGGGTGTAGGTGCAAACGAGACGCTGCTATCAATGGTTTCCGCTCCAAACGAGACACGAGTATCAATATATTAAATTTCGAACGAGACACTACTACTTACTACTACGGATGCGTCTGGAAACGAGACGCTGCTATCAATAGTGGGTGTCTCTGCAAAGGAGACACTGCTATCAACGAGACAGCACAGTGTGTTTGTGTTCATTCCAAACGAGACGGTGCTATCAATGGATGTAAGTCCAAACGAGACACTGCTATCAATGGATTCTGCCTCAAACGAAACGTGCTGAGGAGCACCGTATCTCAGTATCCACGGCTGCACACGAGTGCAGGTTGAGAAGCACCACGCGAATGCAGGCTGAGAAGAACCACGCGAATGCAGACGGCCAGGCTGAACAGCACCGCCACAAAGCAGGCTGCATCTCAGGGCCCCTCAAGCTCGCGCAGGCCAGCCCAGCGCCTGTCGGGCCTTCGCGCAGGCGATTTTTTCGTGGCAATCTTGTCTGCGAAGAATTCGTCGAAGGCCTTCGCGATCTGTTCTGGGGGGCCTGACTGGATGATGCTCCGGTCAGGCAAGCCGTGGCTCAAGAGCTGGCCGAAGCTCCGGGGCCGCGACAGGCTGACGTAGTAGGCCAGCCAAATGGACTCTTTCTTGAGTCCTGGCGGAAACGTCCAGTGCACGATGAAGCCTGGGTCCGCCGTCTTGCCCTGCACGCCATGCAGAGTGCCCTGCGACCCCGCCCCTATCCCCCCCCGCGACCTGAGTAGACCACCCAAGCCAGCGGGGAGCGTCATAAGGGGCGGGGGTTCTGACGTCGATGAAATAAGAAGGAGGAGAGCGGGAGGCAAGGAACAGGCAGACGAAAGCCCTTTTAGGCTTTACCGGGCGTGTGGGCATGCCCTTTTTGGCTGTTGCGGGGGCAAGCCCGCGCGGTCGCCCGCCAGGGACAGGGCGCCCTGGCCCTCTTCGTGAGCGCGCAGGCGCGTGGCGTACTTCATGCGCACGATTGCCCGCTGAAGCGCCCCGCGGCACGACAGCGACGGTAAAAGGGCAAATTCGGTGACGCTGGAGCCCCTAATGCGACGAGGAAGCTACATATGCATCTTCTGTGACACTGGAGCTCCACGGGACAAGTCAGCTCAGCCTGCCTCAGCCTCAGCCTGCATCGGCCTCAGTCTCAGCCTCAGCCCGCGTCCGTCTCAGCCTGCTGCGCTCCCGCATACCCCTTCGGCCTCAGCCTGCCTCAGCCTCAGCCTGCATCAGCCTCAGCCTCAGCCTCAGCCTGCCTCAGCCTCAGCCTGCTGCGCGCCCGCGTACTCCTG